TCTCACACACACACACACACACACACACACACACACACACACACACACACACACACTCTACTACTGTACAACATAATGAAACTAATATATAGATCAGCATTATTTTAGTATAATTGATATACCATTATAGTTTTTGCTAATATGTTGAATTTAAAAAGTTTAAAAGTTGTTGAGCATAATTGTATTTGACTTTAGTTCTTGTTTATATATACATATATTAGCTGTTATTAATTTTTGGAAGCAGAAATCAATAGTTTTTATGTTTGATTTCATTAACATTTATTTTATTTCAAGTGACCAAAATGTTTTTTTTAATGGTTATATTTTAGTTTCAGTTTTAGTTATATAAGAACCCTGCTATAGAGCTGTAATAAATAGATAATTGGTCACAATGTGAGGCTTTTAAAATATTAATCTGTTCGCTTCAGCAGCCAGACATTTCGGGAAAACTGTCTGAAAGTCAATATTTTGCATTAATATTTGGTGCAGAAACTACACGCCTCTCATCGGATCATCTCTTTCTACCTGATCTGGTTAAAACAGCCATTCAGCCACACTAACATATTCTCAGGATTGAATAAAACTTTCATAAGCCCATTAAATACATTTCTAGTCGACTACACATTTTACAGCCAGACATCTGTGCTGCTAGAACCTGTTTCTGTTCAGATCATATTTGATGTTTACATTCGCCAGATGCTTTTTCTGGTGACGCGCTGCACAAAAACAGCCTTTTTGGACACAAAACTGACCGATGCTTCGCTGTTGTTTTTCTTTCCCCTTTCCTTTTTTTTTTTTGGATCCTGAAGAGGGAATACCCTGGCCTTGTTTGTCTGCAGGTGATATATCTGCCCTCTCCTGGTCACAGCTGACACTCCAGCATGTAAAGTCAGAGACATGCCTTCAGGGACACGCACTCATTATTTACCACTCACAAAGACGCGGCTTTCCATTTCTAAAGCAGATGCGCTTACATAGAACTCCTACTGCATTCTAGCTCAGACTAAAACCTGGTTCTATATGTGACCCTGGAGCACAAAACCAGTCATATGTAGTGACATATTTGTAGCAATAGCCAACAATACATTGTATGGGTCAAAAATGCCAAAAATCATTAGGATATTAAAGGAGTCATATTATGCGATTTCAATTGTTGCTTTCTCTTTGGAGTGTTACAAGCTCTTGGTGCATAAAGAAGATCTGTAAAGTTGCAAAGACTAAAGTCTCAAATCCAAAGAGATATTCTTTATAAAAGTTAAGAGTCAGCCACACCTACCTAAAACGGCTCGTTCTAACACGCCCCCACATGTCTACATCACTATGTGGGAAGATTTGCATAACACCGCCCAAATGTTCACGCAAAGAAAGAAGGCGTAACTTTTATTCTCGCTGTAGTATTGTTGCCGCCGCCGCCATGTCGTGAAGACGCTGTGTGTCGTTGTGAAAGCGAAACTACTTTGTTTGGTCTTCCAAAAGAGGACGATATCGCTTCGTCATGCCTGGAGCTGATCCGTGCTGGTTGCTGAGGAAATACTACAACTTCGCGCTGAGGATCGCCGGATCGGCTTTCACCGTGGACGAAGCAGAGTCCAGCCTGGGGTCGTCACATGTGGTTGCCGCAACTTCGCGCTGAGGATCGCCGGATCGGCTTTCACCGTGGACGAAGCGGAGTCCAGCCCGGAGTCGTCACATGTGGTTGCCGCAGGCATCACAATATGGTGAGGGGCGTAACATTTCCGTCACACGCTTGAGGTATTCGGCCAATCACAACGCACTGGATAGCTGGCCAATCAGAGCACACCTCGCTTTTCAGACCGATGAGCTTTGTAAAAATCGAAGCGCTTCAGAAAGGCGGGGCATTGAGGAGAAACAATAATGCACAGTATGTGGAAAATAATGTGTTTTTGGAACTTTAAACCGCATAAACACATTTCATTACACCAAATACACAAAATAATGTTCTTTTTAGCAGCATCATATGACCCCCTTTAAGTAAAGATCGTGTTCCATGAAGACATTTTGTAAATTTCCTACCGTAAATATATCAAAACAGAATTTTTGATTAGTAATATGCATTGCTAAGGACTTCATTTAGACAACTTTAAAAGTGATTTTTTCAAAAATTAGATTTTTGTATTTATTTTTTTTGCACCCTCAGATTCCTGGTTTTGTGGACCTGGGTCACGTATTAGTAACTTTCAACATCAGGACATTACATAATGTTTAGGTTTCTCCTCAGTCATGAGATCTCATCGCAGGTGCGAAGACGTGAATGTCAGAAGGGTGAGCGTAAACAACACGAACACAAACCAGCCTGACTGTAATGCAGCGGGGTGTCTGTCATCAGAAAGATGGCATCGACCTCTAAAGCAGATTACACACAGATCCCAGACGAGCGCGTTCTTACCGTTCTGAGATGATACATATGGGAGCATCGCGAGGAGCAGCGCGAGCATCCCGGTGTAGGACAGCATCCTGCGGGAGGATGGAGACGGGACACGGCGAGCAGGTGATGGACGCGGAGCGGCTTCAGACGCAGAGGATGGCGGAGGAGGAGCGAGGACAGACGGCGAGAAACGCGACAGGCGCTGCGTGGCGGCTCTGCTGCATGGAGGACCGGTGAGGATGAGGATGATGCTGATGCTGTCCGGAGCTCAGGGATGCGGATGCTGATGCTGCTGCTGGAGATGATGATGATGGGCCATCGGAGTGTCCGTCATCGCGGAGAACCTTCGGCTGTCAGTGCGCGCACCCGCGGCTCATTCGCGCGCATCATCAGCTGTCGGCGCGCGCGCTCCCGCGGGGGCCTCGAGCGCGTCAGTTCTGCGCAGCGACTGCGCAGGCCACTCAATAGAATCAAAAAAGAAACATTACTCCACAGTAAAACAAAGTGAAATAAAAGCGCATATTTTCAGCGTGTTTATACTGAGATGCCTAAAACTCTAGCACTCTCTATTCTAATTCTATTTTATCTATTTGTTTTCTTTTGTATATTTAAAAACACGACCCTTTAAGACTTGCACTCTGTTTGTTTTCTATTAAAAACACTATCTTTCTGTTTTTTTCTATTCTATCTATCTAAAAACCTATATTCAAATTGGGGTATGTTGTCCTATAAAGTTTTTTGTTTTTAAAGCAAAATCGAATTGTTGGAATTTTTAACTTTTTGAATTTTGAGTAGAAACAAGCTGAATTGTGAAAATGAAAAATGAACGACACCAAAAAAATTCAAAAATTAACCTACTACAAAAATATCCGTCATTTTTGATACAACTTAATAGAACATAATAAAACTTTTAAACAAATTCTATAAAATTGCAACTTTTAAAACGGATTAAAAAACATGGCAACCACTTGCCTGAAGCTGACTTGTAGCTACAACTCGTTGCTGACTTGTCCTGAAACCGTTCAAGTCTACTTTTTATACTATATAGTGACTCTTGTTTCAGTGTCATTGTGGTTTTGTTACCCAACAATTAAAAAAATTTGATATTTGAATTTTAGTTTAAAGTACAGAATTTATAATAAATATAATACATAAGAAGAATAAAAAAAAAAAATCATTGATTCATTCTGTTTCGAACTTCACTGAAAAATTACTTTAAAAACATTCACTCCAAAACTGCTAGTAAATTTGACAAAAAATTACAAAGAAACTGCAAGTGGCACAATGAACTAAATGTGACATTTTGAAGTAGAAAGACTTCTAAATATTTTTCCCGCAAAAATCTTTTTACACAACTTCAAAAAAAAAGAAAGAAAAGAAAAAGAAAAAAGTAGGCTACAGTGTTGATGTTTGAAACTAACAGAAGCACTGCTGAAGAAAACTTGAAACCTTTACTGAGATATAGCATTTGTGACAACTAGCCCCGATCTCCTTATACAATGAATGATTTATGTACAATGTTCTTTACAAGCTACTCCAAATCAAGTACTTCAAAAATGTTGATAGCAGTAAGCACAGTAATATCATGTTTTTTTTTTATGTCTCAGGGGCTCCACAGGATATTTATCTAGGGCACTAGAGATATTCTCCAAGAAAGTGCATGTTATCCACACAGCGTGGGCACAGTCAGTCAGGATTAACAGACATGAGCACAGCCATGACCTCTGTCTGCACCCCTCACATTCACACAGTGCTATCTGCTGGATCAACTTACAAATACAGTTACTTTACTGTGCATACATTATTTGTTGCTTCCTCTATAACTATTCAGTTTGATGAAACAAAGTATTGTGGCGTTAAATAAAACAGTGAAAATATTGTGATATCAGACATCTTTTATGATCTGCTTTTGATTATCAAATGTTCTGTTTAATAAAAAAAAAAAAGAACTTTATTATTTAAACTTTATTATTTAAAAATTGAAAGCAATTCAAATACAAGCACACTTTCTTTTTGTTAAATGATGATTTAAGCAGAAAGTTTTAAGGTCATAAGGAGCATAAATTAAGTCCGTTTTGCTGAGTAAGAATTATTTGCTTGTTTATTATTGCTCTCGGTCCTCTAGCATTATTCAATATGACATAAAAAATACTGTGGTATTAAAAAATGCCACAGACATCAAATACATTTGTTTTATGATCTGCTTTTAATTATGAAGTTGATTAACTGTTGTACTTACATCATAATGCATAAAAATGAACATGCCTACTCTTTGTTTATTATTTTTAAAGACATGTTCATGAGGCGCATGTCTACTAAACTCATTTCAGACAACTTCAGGTTTTTAGTTTAGAGATATTAGGGTCACAAGGAACACGTTGTGTTCAAACTTTTGCCCGCTCGTGCTTGCATGTCTAATGATGGTTTTAAAGAAAGCTCCCAGGAGTAAAGGACACCCTAAACAATGCTTACGAGTTTAGAAGGATTCTGATGACACAGCACGTTGAGATCTGCAGTCACGCCGATTTTACCTCCACTTTACTCAAGCACGTCAAGAAACATTTAAATCGGAAGCCACACCTGCCGCCCGCCGCGAGCCAATGATCCGCAGCACGGAGCTGAGGAATGACACACCCACCTTTGCTCCGAGCCAATGGGAACGTAAAGGTCAGGAGGGGGAAAACTTGCCCCGGGATCAATTCGTCTCGCATCAGTGACCTTCTGCAAATGTGTGGGAGGAATTTGGCCAGCTCTCCTCTGACTTTCAGGTGTTGTTAGTATGGGAAGTCGACAACAATGGCTCACGAGACTGAAGAATGAGCTGAGCAACAGTCCTCTGGTGTCCAACGTGGCCTTCGGCTTCATCCTGATGGGACTGGAGAAGCTGGTGGAGCTGGAGTTTGAGTGTCCGTGCAATCCGGCCTGGAACGGGCTGTTTTCCTCCGCATTCTTCATCATTCCCGCCGTCATGGCCTTCGCGCTCATGATGATCATTCAGGGATGCAGGTGTGACACCTGGTGCAGGAGGACCATGTCCCTGTCCAGCTTCGTTCCCGTCGTGGTCTGGCTGATCCTGCTCTTCCTGGACGGTCAGTATTTCGCCTGCGCGATGACAGACTGGCACGGCCGGTTCGTGATCGTGGACAAAGCCGCTCCGCAGAAATGGTGCGAACCCATTCAAGAGGAGAGCGTCACTCCTCAGGAACTCATGCTGCGCTCACAGCGACTGTTTGTGGAGTCTCAGGTGAGATCCGCTGCTCTTTTTGTGTTCTTGCGCATCAGTGGGCCTTTTAGAACACTGCAGATGAAGCCATGCATTTTTAGAGCTTCACAGATACAGTGATACATTTGTGGAATTTTGAGAACATACATAGAACTTTGATGCTATCAGTATAAACATTTGTGACCCTGGACCACAAAACCAGTCACAAGGGTTAATTTTTTGAAATTGAGATTTATACATCATCTGAAAGCTAAACAAATATGCTTTCCATTGATGTATGGTTTGTTAGGATAGAACAATATTTGGCTGAGATACAACTATTTGAAAATCTGGAATCTGAGGGTGCAAAAAAATCTAAATGTTGAGAAAATCATCTCTAAAGTTGTCCAAATGAAGTCCTTAGAAATGCATATTACTAATCAAAAATTAAGTTTTGATATATTTACGGTAGGAAATTTACAAAATATCTTCATGGAACATGATCTTTACTTAATATCCTAATGATTTTTGGCATAAAAGAAAAATGGATAATTTTGACCCATACAATGTATTGTTGGCTATTGCTACAAATATACCTGTGCTACTTATGACAAGTTTTGTGCTCCAGAGTCACATTTATAGATTTGTTCCTGTCTTGACTATAGATTCTTGAGATCCAGTCCACTAATGAAACTTTCTCATTACATTTACTTCTTCTGTAACCCAATAATTCATTTCCATGTCCATTAAAGTCAATGTACATGTTTTGCTAATGTGTCTATGAAAATGTTATGTGTGATTCACACAAAAACGCATCTAGGTCACATTTCACCTCAAAATAAAATGAAAATAATACTTTTTTTTTTTTTTTTTTTTAAAGGCCAGGGTTATTATAGTTAAGTAAAACTAAAATTAAAACATTTTTGTTACTTGAAATAAAAAAGGTTAACTGAAATGAAATAAAATTAAATATACAAACATTTTATTAAACGTTTGTCATTTTAATCTAGTTTAACTTGATCTACTTAGTACTTATATAATTAAAATTGAAATAAAATTAATAAAAAAGTAGACATATTTAAATAAAAAAGACAAAAACACACTTTCCAAAAACAAAATGACCAAAACTTTACAATTGTTGTTACATTTAAATGAAAATAAAAAATAAATATCAATAAAAACTACAACAGTATCTCAGTCAGTGATACTAAAAGAACACTATTTAAGACAAATTAAGTCCTTTTTTTTTGCATTGAGACATTATGACAATGAAGCATTTGTTTTAAATGCATAAAACAATGCATTACAGTGCACTAAAAATATATAATTTGTGTAATATATCACATATAATGTTTTTTATGGGTGACATTAAAGACAAGTTTTGTGTGATTCACCCATTTCACTGTGTCATGGATATTTCTATTAAATAATTGGTTACATGTTACCCATTACAGACGTGCACTGTTTATCTGTCATTAACAGGTGATCGGCATAGTGCTGCTCATTTTGATCTGTTTCGGACTGGTCGTGTATGTGATCAGAGAAAGCTGCCAGCAGGAGCTGGAAACTCAAGATGCCAATGTAGCAGAGATGACGCTCTACAGCTCCAGCTGATAGACACCCTTCCTCACCCGACTGCAGAAAACACTCTTTACAGTACAGTGTTCATGTACTGCAGTGAGTAACACACAAGAATAACATGTGCTAACAGGGACAGTTCACCCAAAAATGAAGATTCAGTCATCATTTACTCACCCTCAAGTTGTTCCAGACGTGTATGATTTTCTTTCTTCTGTGGAAGAATGAAGGACCAATTCTGAAGCTGGTGCTGGTCACTCTTTTCACTGCAACTGAATGAATGTGGACTGAAACTTTCTCCAAAACTGGTCTGAATGATTCATCCATGAATCAGATCTGATCACAAGCGTTAACAGAAGGGGAAAATTGTCAGTGAGTAATGATTTCAGTCTATTCCTCAAAGTTTGGACTACTTTTTTGGTGCTTCTGCGCCAATTTTAAAGCTTGAAATCATTCGTTCACTGTAATTGCATGGAAGACAACAAACAGCATAATTATCCTCAAGGCAGAAATAGTCATACAGCTTTAGATCGACAAGAGGGTGAGTCAATTATATCATAAAGGCTGATTTTGGGGGCAAAATTACACTTTATAGGATTATTTCAAATGAAGTTAAACTCTATTGACAGCATTTGTGATCAATTGACAGTCATTTGGACTCCTATGCATTTACACTAAAGGGTGATCAAATCACTTACTAAACCTGTCTGTGTAATGTTATTTCAATTTCTCTCATGAGCATGTAAAGCCAGTGAATGCTACAACTCATAGGATACTCATTTTCATACAGAATAAATAATACAGCCTATGTATTTTAGAAAAATAGTTAATTTTTTAATATTGAGAAATTATGCCAATGAAGTACTGTAATGCAAAAAAAAAAACTATATTCTACACATTTTTTAAATATATAAAAATAATGAACCATAGTGTATTAAAAATTCTATATTCTATACATGTATAAAAAATATATGCTAAAATGTTTACATTAAAATCAAAATAAATTTAAAAATGCAATAAATACTAGAATACTAAAATAAATTTTTTTGTTTTGTTTTGTTTTGTTTGCAACATATCACAGATGCTGTCAATTGAGATGTTATGAAAACACATTTGGTTAGTGCTGTTGCAATTCATTAGATTTACATTTAAAAGTGCAAAACTGTACCTTCAAAGGTGACACTGAGGTGGCCTAAATGCAATTTTTGCAATACTAGAATACTAAAATAAATTGTTTTGTTTTGTTTTGTTTTGTTTTGTTTGCAACATATCACAGATGCTGTCAACTGAGATGTTATGAAAACACATTTGGTTAGTGCTGTTGCAATTCATTAGATTTACATTTAAAAGTGCAAAACTGTACCTTCAAAGGTGACACTGAGGTGGCCTAAATGCAATTTTTGCACATTTTATTCTGCGTAATATGAGCACTGTAAATGTAAAGTGTTACCCTATGTTAAGATTTTTATATGAATGACAGGTTCCATTAGTCAGGACTGATGATTATCACCATGACTAATGGTCCTTTCCCCCTAAATGACTTTCATGAACGGACATTTACGTTCAGCCATCACTGTCTAATTGAAGTTCAAACAGAACAGCAGGGAAACACAAACAGTAGCGGACAGCGTGTTGCGTTTGATTGACATGATTATTTCTGTTATTAAGTGCCTGTTTTACAACTGCCTCACATCAACACCTGTTTTAGGAAGTAGTAACTTGAAAACGGGTAATTTTACAGTCATAATTCATACACCAGCACAACAAAACAGAGTTGCAATGTAGTTTGTGTAAGGATTCAGGAAAGAAACATAAAATGTAAAAGATACTATCAAAGGACTACAATTAAGAATATTGAGGGACTTTCTACTTTTCCATATCCCAGCCAGATGCAAATACTTTCATTAGTTCATTTTCTATGGAAGCTTGTTTCCACCGTGAGATTAAAAAAATAAAAAAGGTAATTGCAAATTTTTCATCTCACAATTCTATCTTTTTTCTCTGAATTGAGAGAGAGAGAAATTTGCAATTGTGATGGAAAAGTCCGAATTATGAGTTCATATCGCGTCTCAGAATTGAGAGGAAAAAAAAGTCTGAATTGTGAAATACAAATTCAGAATTGCAAGGGAAAAAGTCTGAATTATGAGATATAAACTCAGAATTCAGAGAAAAATGCAAGATGGAAACTTGAATAGTGACCAAAAAAAAAAAAGTCTGAATTATGAGATACTAAAAAAATCGGAATGGTGAGATAACCTTAAAAGGTGGGGTAAAAAACAACTGCAGGATGTAAACTCAGAATTAAGAAAAAATAAGTCAGAATTGTGAGATATAAACTCAGAATTGCAAGAAAAAAAATTCTGCATTGTGCGATGAAAAACTTGCAATTACCTTTTAGATATAAACTCTGCGTGTTACCTCACAAAGGCCTCACAAAGTGTTTGTTTTACTATCTTTCTGAAAGGGATTGGCCAGAATAATTCTTTGTATGTTATTTTATTTTTATACTACAGTATATCTGAGTGATTTCCTGTATTTGAATTTTACACTAGACTCGGTGTATAAGTCTATAGACATTATATTTTGTATCAGGAGTGTTAACAGTACAAAACAAATAAAAAAATTATAATATGCAGTGCTTCCTCATGTGCAAAACTACTCTTTAATTGACTGTCAACCAGACTTATGTTATATTTTAAAGCTCTGTTATCCTTGAAATCAGCTGTAATTGCTTTGAAGACATGGTGCGGTGATTAAACGCTGTTAGACATTAAATCTCTTTTTGTCATTACAGACAGTAACAGCAGCACAAGTAGGTTGAGTGTCACCTCTATTAAACCAGAGTCCTGCAGGTCACTGTAATACATCAGCGTAATTACAGACGGGACAAAACCGCGCTAATGATGTGCTAATGGTTTCTGGAAGGGATAATACTGGAAGAAATCATTTCAATCTTAAGGTCAGCAAGAAATTAAATAGACTATTTACTTTCTCAATACATATCGCTGGTGTTAATGTGAATGATTCATCAGTGCATGTTATTCTGACTCCAGGAAGCGAGGGCTGCTATGTTAAAATACTGTATAACATCAACCAACAGCCAAAAATGCATTCTCCCATTCGGGTCTGTTATTCTGGTATGGAAGTCTACATTAAATATATCATTTCTATCAGAAGTACATTATGTTACATACACTCTTAAAAATAGAGGTGCTTAAAAGGTTCTTCACAGCGATGCAATAGAAGAACCATTTTTGGTTCCACAAAGAAGCATTCAGTCAAAGGTTCTTTAAAAAACCATCTCTTTCTTACCTTTTTAGAATCTGAAGAACCTTCTTTCGCCACAAAGAAGCTTTTGTGAAACAGAAAGGTTCTTCAGATGTTAAAGGTTCTTTATGGAACCATTCAGACAAAAAGGTTCTTCTATGGCATCGTGAAGCACCTTTATTTTTAAGAGTGTAAGCACATTAAATGGGTTCATGTTTACTTTAAGATTTAGCATTTAATCAAAATTCACATGGTAAATCTCTGTTCCATTAACTATAATTATATTAAAGTTTAAGTTTTTATTTTTACATTTTTATTTATTATGAAATATCTATATGCTCATAATCAGTAAAAATAGGCTACACACAAGAGTTTTATTCTTTTTTCCCCCAAATGTATTATTGTATTGTACTTTTTATCCATTTTCACAATGTCAGAATTTTTTAAACAATGCTCCAAAATTGGTCAATACTGAAACACACAAGAACATTTACAATAAATAGAAACCAAACAAGTATTTTTTTAACACTTAGTTTGATTTGGCATGAAACAGTTTATTTTATTACACTTTTTGGAACTTGTATTAGCTGCTAATCTATTTCAGCTAAACTATTTTCTATGCTATTATTTTTCAATTTATGCAGCTAATGTGAAAATAAATCTTTTTTGTTTGCAAATTTTGAAGATAAAGCTTTTATTTTTTCTATATTTATTTATAGTATATACAATCATAATGTGCCCTATCCTGGTGACCGTATAAAAAAAAGGGGACATTGGATGCAAAATTCACTCTTACATGGCGTTTGCATATAAATGTGTCTTAGCAGTATGTGGACACAACCACCCTACAATAATAAAAATCCATTCACTCCTTTTTTCAATCCCTAAAAAGTCTAAACAGTCCCAATTATCAAGAAGTTTTGATTGACGGACTGTCCCGTATTAATCGAGCAGCGAGCAAAGCAATGCAGGTGTTTAGTAGTTGGATGTAAAATGAACATAAGAGTCTTCATTTCATAGCCACCGAGGACGCAGCGGATTCGTTTTGTTTTTGATGGTGATGCACCACCAAAAACAGAAGAGAGGGGCGGGGTGAGCAGTAGCTCATTAGCATTTAAAGTGGCATGCACCGAAACGGGTCGCTGTAAACAGAGCTGTTTTTGACATGGTAAAAAAGGGTGTTGTTTAACACGACCATTGAGGAATTTTAATTTCATGAATTAAAATACATTTGACAAAGACCCTAAAGAATCATACCAACTTGTGAAAAATTGGCATCCAATGTCCCCTTTAATCTTGTTTTGCTCGTTTTCTTTTTGCACGAAAGCTACAACATAAACATCTGATCACTTTAAGATTGAGACACAATCAACACTAAAAACACTACGACATCAACACTGTAGTACGAGTACCAGGGCATTTTATAAGAGTCAGTGCGCAGGTGAGCAGCTCCTCTGTGTCTCATGACAAACTCAATCCAGAAGAGGGCGCTAACTAACGGATTTACTGGTGTGTCTCTATGCAGACTGGACAGTTTCTGCATGTTCTTCCTGTAGGATGGCTCTGTAAGCACTTCTTGTAACGCATCTTTAAATATACTTCTATCTATGTTGGCAATGTCCACAACTTTATCCACACCTCTATGTCTCATTTTTGAAAGGTTATAATCCTGATCGAAAACAAGCGGTAATCCGACTATAGGAACGCCATGATAAATGGCTTCAAAAATACCATTAGTTCCTCCATGAGACACAAACACCTTGGTCTTT